GTTGGCCCCTGACAACTTGCTGCGCATGAAGCATCTTCTGGAGGTTGCTCCGGTAACAAACATTGTGAGCGAAAAGTCATTCGCCGGTTCCCACACCCGCCGAATGGCGGACCACGGCCAGAGTCCGAAGTTGCCAACGCTGGCTGCGCAACATGTGTTGGCCCAGAGCAAGAGCATTTTGGACACCGAGGTTTGTAAGTCGACCTGCGGCTGTCAGCCAGCAGCTTCGGCTGTCAGCCAGGAAAATGCAGCGAGAGGGGGCAACAACGGCTGGTGTGAATTCCTGCGCACCAACAATGAGGCTGGTCAGAGCTTGCGGTCGTTAGCCGACAAGTGGGCAGCGCTAAGCCGTGAAGACAAGGCTAAGTTCGATGCTGGAGCCAAGACACGGCCACGACCGCCTGCCTCGCCGCAGCTGGCGCCGCCACCGCAGCAGCCGTTGCCAAGCAGACCTGCTGCTACTGTTTGGCCTCACTGTGGAGACGACTTCTACCCGGTGCGCCAAGACAGCTTGGGTGAACTGGCTGGAGCAATCCGCCCCCTGTCTGGCAGTTGGCTTCAGCGTGTGGGGGACGGCCCATGCAAGCCTGCGCAGGCAGCTGTTGCAGAATGCGGAGGTTGGTGTCGCACCCACGTTTGTTTCAAAATGCTTCATGACTCCCGCCAGCGCGCTTTGGAGTACATGCGTGTGAAGCTGAACCGATTCGCTGCCCTCTGTAAGGAGAAAGCCCCAGCCTTTGAGGATATGTGGCAGCCCCTCGCGGTTTTGCATGTGAATGTGCGAAATGCGGGTGGCGCCGGCTCCAGTGCAGACCGACCCGGTGGTGTCACTTTGCTGCAGCTCTGCCCGCTGCACGACTCGCAAGTTTTCTGTTTGTCGGCGAAGTGTGACGTACCGGTCGTGGGCACTGTGCTCGACTTTCAGCCCGACATGAGCAACTTGCGAGGGGCAGCCGAGGTCATGTGGCTGTGTACATCATTGCAGCCACAGCAATCGATGGACAGCTTTGCAGACTCTGTGCAATGCTTGCGCCTGCTCTGCGAGCATCAAGGCTTGACGACTTTGAGAGTCGCCGCCGTTGAGGACATGGCTGACATGGAAGCAGAGGCGGTACACAGAAGGAGACGCGACAAGGATGCCGCCAAAGTTGCAGCAGCTCTTTCGCGGCTGGATGACGCTTCTCTGCTGCAGCCCAAGCGCCGACGCATTACCTCCAAACAAGCAGCCCCAACGCATCGGCGCGTTGTCCCTGCGCAGTCTTCCGGCTGTCAGCCAGCGGCAGGGCCCAGCGAAGAAGTCGAGCAAGAACAAGAGTTGTGTGAGTGGGACGGGGAACTGGACGCAGGCGCGCAAACTGCCAACGGTGATGGAGACGCATACGGATACGCAAGCCTGGAACAAGAAATTTTGGAAGCGGGCGCTTCGGCCGAAGACGTCGTGGAGATGAGAGAGGCGGGTGCGTGCGAGGCATTGCAAGACAGCCATGCTGGCCATGCAAGTCCAGCCACTTCTGCAGCGAGAGTTGTGCGCATGGACCCTTCGACTGGTCGTGTCTTCCGCACCGACACTGAGCCCAACCAATACCTGGGAACTCCGCCGGCAGAATTAAACGCCGCAATTGAAAAAGGCAATTTATTCAGCCTCATTGCGAAGAATCAGCCTCCGGAATAATGAAACGCCGAAAAGAATCAAGAATTGCCGAAACCATCTTTCGATGATCCGATCTAGCAACCCTGAAGTTAAGTGAATAAGGAATTGCATTGGCAAAAGGGTCTTCGGACTTGTAGTTCGGGGTCGTGCAAGACTCTCAGCTTCCGCCTTTGGCTCGGCGAGACCGATGTCAAACCCAAGAGCCTTGAACCTTCGACAACCCCTCCCCACTAACACAACTTAGGTCCTTGCAAACCCTACACAACACCCCAAAGTAAAGATTCGCCCTATGGTTTGTGCAGCGGATGGACTGTCCTGCGATCGCGATGAGCTACCAGCCGCTTGCTCCAAAATGCGAGGATCGGGGCTTAAGGTTTAGGGCTTAGACTGTGGAGGGATTACATTAAGGCAGGAGTTCTGAACGAGCCTGGAACGAAATTCTTTTGCTAACGGCAAGTCGTGATTCCACATGTCGTCTGAGCACAGCAGCAACCTTGCAGAAATGTCTTTCCACAACTCGCTTGTCGATAAGCCGTGTATCCACAACTTGTGCCAGATCGCAAATGTGACCAACATGACTTTCGTTACCCTCGCAGGCATAGGCCAAAGGATTTGGAATCAGAGGTGCCGCTGTCCAAAGCAGTTGCTGCAGCTCGTAGGCAAGATGGTGTGTTGCGTGCAGTTTTGGCTTAATACTAAAAAACATCTCGTCCATGTCCCAAGTCATCTTTGCCAGTGCCACATAACCGGATAACATGCACATCATGTTTGCAAAAAGGTTCTGAGCACACGACCGGGTCAGCCACAAGGGGTGGTGGTTGCAAATGTCAAAGATCTTGAAAGTATGGCCAATGGTCTGGCTGTACAATCGCAGCAGATCCTCGTGCGGGCTCGACTGTGGGGTGGGGCTGTTCAAATGAAGGTCGCATGTCCATTGTACAAACTCCAGGAGGAGCATAGTATCGCTCCCCTTCGTGTTCGACCAGGGATGATCTGTCATTTTTTTCATAGAAAACAAACCCATCCGGAAGTATCGTAAAGCAGGAGACCTGCCATTAGCAGATGCCCACATCTTGAAGGCCATGTGGGCCCTGTCCAACCTATCTGGAAGATTGCGAGTGTCTCCATCGCCATCCCAGAAGCCCCACTTTGCCAGGAGGACAAGTCCCCCAGCAAGGTCCCTACCGACCCCAACCTTTATCAAATGGAAGAGGTCAAACCGGTAGAACATTTCCGGTCGTGTGTCGTCAAAAGGAACAGGAAGAAGCGGAGGATCGTTGGCCCATGGCCTGCTGGCATACAAGGAGGAAGACCATATGGGGTCCAACTCTATCCTGTCCCAAGGAATCCCAGGTGCTCCAGCTTCACACACTGAGCACATCATAATGGAATTCACCGGCCCCATGTGGGCATAGCTGCGGACCAGATGGGCTGATTTTTCAGCCATGTGCTTCAAATCACCCTTGTGACCAAGGCAAGCCACGTACCAGCGTTCTGCAGACACCTCCAGCCCGTTTTCAAACAACTGCACCAGCTCCTTTGCAAGAAGCCCCAGCATGTAATCAAGGACAGCCTGGGGGATTTGTGATGGGAGATTTCTTATGACCCGAAAAGGGTCGGGGGCATGGCGGGACCCAAGTAAACCCACAAACCTATGCTGAATATCGTAGCCGGTAGCAGCATCCTGTTTGTACACAACATCCAAGATTCCAAACAGAAGGTGTCTCTTTAAGTAGACATGTCCTTTGTAGTTGTGCGTGGCCTTTGCTGTTGCACGAAGAGCAGGATCTGAAGCAGGATGAGGCTCTCCATAACAAGCCGGAATATACTCTTGCGGAAATTCTCGTAGATCGCTATGACAGCTGCACGTGAATTTTTCCATGCTGTCGAGGCCAATCGGTGTTTCAAAGGTATACAGCATGTAATTCCCTCGTTTTGGTCCTTTGCCTTCGTCTCCAAACAAGACGATCGGGAGTGTTTGCTTCAATCTCTCCGGACGATCAAAAACTGCATGAGTCGGGTGAGCCCACCTGTAAGCATGCCAGAACGATTCCAGCTGAACTTGCAAGGGTTCGTCCCCTCCAGCAAGCACACACGGGGCTCGCCGAATCAAGTATTTCAGCCAATCTCCTACTGTGACATGATACATGTCGTAGGCCTGTTGACCCACTTCTATCACATCTTTCTGGATCGGGACATTCAGAGACAAACCGAATCTTCTGAAAAAGCGGTGGCTGTCCCTTTCAGCATTGATCACTTTCGGTCTTTTGCCTGAGTCCTGCGTAGTACTGCCATCACCGACCATTCGTGCCCAGCATCGCTTGGTATCACTGGCAGTTGCCTTGGGAAGCAAGACAATAAAAGAAACAGAGACAGGAGTGGCACTGGCTGGTGGTGTCAGGCTTGGCTCAGGCTTCCACCCCGGAACCCAACATCTCGGCATATTGTTCAGCACGGTCGAGATCGACAACGGTTTCACCTGGCATGTTTTTTTTTTTAAATCAGAGTGGGGTTGAAAACAGGGTGCTGCGTGGGAAAGTGTTCTTGTGTTGGTGAGAAAGCTGGGGCCTCTGTTTCTGTCATGCTTGGGACTCGAAAAGCAAGCCAGCGTAATGCCATACACGGTCGAGATTCGCCATGCACTCGCATTAAATTAAGGTGCTTGGAGTTTCAGGGTTTGAGGGCTCACGGGTTATAGGGCTTAGGGGTTTAGGTTTAGGGTGGTTTGAGGGTTTACGGCTCGTTGCCACAACTACCTACGGTTGCATTAACAAACACACACACACACACACACACAAACAACACAACACACAACACACACACACACACACACATACACACGGCCACACACCCATACACCCTTTAAGCCACACACCCGCACACTCAAACACCCCCACACTCACACACCCAAACCAAGGTACAAGAGTGCAAGCTGAGTGTCACAATCTCTTTTTTCCGTGCCCATGCAACACGGCGTGCGTGTGCTTCCGAACGTGCCATTGATAAGAACGAATGACAACTTGTTGTCATTCCGGAAATGCTCTACTGCTTACCTCTCTTGCGAGAGCTCGGAGGCGTCTCAGGCGGGGGGTCAGCGGCTTTCTTAGGGGCGGCTTTGGTTTTCGCCTTGGCTTTTGCCTTCGGTTTCGGAGGCGGCTTCTGATCAGGCTTCTCAGAAGTAGCAGTTTGAGACAGCACCGTCCTCAACTGATTTTGCAATACGGATAAGACACCCTATGCACCCTGCTTTGCGATTCGCTGCATAAGCCTTAGGAGAGGGCACAGCTCGATTTTCCAAGCAGCATGCGTCGATTAGCCTTTGTCGGGCAGAACATAGAAGCGAAATGCGACTGGCCCTGCAAAGCCAAGTTACATCTGTCTGGCGGTGATGAAGTGCTTCTTCAACTCCTTCACGATCCTCGGCTAGAATCGGCTAGCCAAAACCTGTAAACCCTTAGCCATGAGCCCTATGTTGGAATATGATATGGGATTCGCAGCGACAACTTGAGGGCATGCAGGGTCGGGGTCGGAGTGGGGTGCTTGGACTTGAACTAGACACCGGGTGCTCGGGTTCATCGGGTTTCTGAATTTTTCAGCTGGGTCTCTCTTTCTTGAATCCATGGACCAAGCCTTTGCTGTACATTTCGGTTAGCTGATCCTCCAAACTCGTCAGCGAGCTAATTGTGGTCGCCAGCTTCTCGCCCATCCTCAGAAGCGAAGCCATACAACTGTCCCCTCATTAGCTCTCTCTCTCTCTCTCTGTCTCTTGCTCTTCCCTCTCATTCTCGCAGTCATTCTGCTAGTGCAGATAAAGTGTCTGCCTTTGCAGTGGCAGCGGTTCCGGGATATCAACAAACCTTTGCTCGAACAGAGCCGACTTAGCCAGTCGCTTCTGGATGGCCTTGATAATCTCCGAACACAGCGTGGCAGGGGAGTGGTCACCGTCCAGGTCTGGGAATTTGAGCTGCTTCAGCATCTTCTCCCGAGCCTCGTTGTCTTGCTCTCCAGCATTCTCCTCGTCCGACGTCTCGTCCTCATCGTCACCTGCAGCATTACACAGGAAACTGGGGCTTGAGGGCTCAAGGTTTGCTATCGGATTATTGGCAGAAACAGCACTGCGTATACTCTCTTGAAGCACTCGACAACTGCCCCACAGCCTGCGGAGGCTTTCTGCTTCCCCACCAACCCATACGGCTTGTTAGCTGCTGGCATCCTTGTCTCATCGAGGTCGGAGCATTCTTCATCCGTCTCGCCGACCTCCTCCCTCTGCGTGATCGATCTCTTCGTCGACCTGGAGCCGAGCGACACTGGCCGGGCCCTGTTTGCATCTTTGGGAACTACTGCCTAATATCTTTCGGACCTTAATCCCGAACCTTTGAATGCTTGGGTAACAACTCCTTGTAAACACCCTAACCCACACCTCAACATAAATACTAGAGCCACTAGGTGGCATGGCCTCGGCTCACTTTGTTTAGTGCGGCTCAGAGCTTGTGGCCCTCTTTGGTAAGAGCCTACAGCCTACACTCCAAGAAGCCACCAAAGCCCCCAAATTCGAGAAACTAGAACCCTCAATCCACGAGATGCCCGGAACCCAAACTCGTAAAGCCTGAAAACCTAACGGACCCAAGCCCTGCGTGCGAATGGGACACGTCTTGGACCCGTGGATCTTGATGGCCACCCAATAAAGCCAGCCCTCTCCGTAGTCGGACTTCCTGCAGCAAAGATTGGAGTTTGCTGACTCAACATCTACAAAAAATTAGGGTTCAGGTCGGGCTCTAGCTTTGGACTTATGGATAGGTGGTTGGGCTGGGTTTCAGGCCGGGCTCTAGCTTTGGACTTATGGATAGGTGGTTGGGTTGGGTTTCAGGTCGGGCTCTAGCTTTGGACTTATGGATAGGTGTTTGGGTTTGGTTTCAGGTCGAGCTCTAGCTTTGGGCTTATGGATAGGTGGTTGGGTTGGGTTTCGGGTCGGGCTCTAGCTTTTGACTTATGGATAGGTGGTTGGGTTGGGTTTCAGGTCGGGCTCTAGCTTTGCACTTATGGATAGGTGGTTGGGCTGGGTTTCAGGTTTGGACTTATGGATAGGTGGCTGGGTTTTTGGAATCCAAAGTCTCTGCCACTAGGCGGTCAACATCCCTTCATCCTTCACCCAAGAGTTACCCTATCCCTCCAGCCGAAGCAAGCAGGATTAGCTTTTAGACTTAGCAAAAAAGGAACTAAATTTGGTTCCTCTCTTTAGGGCCTCAATAACACAGCATCAGCCGGGTTTGGAATTGATACAGCTTAGGGTTTAGGGTTGATTTGAGACTTATGTTTCTTGGCGGCGGTTGTGGTTGCGTTGTTCTTGTTGTTGTTGTTGTTG